AGGTTAAACTTTTGTATTTTATCTCAACTGAAGGATATTTTTAGTATATTCACTTTGTTCATCAGAAAGGTACCTTATTGTTCTCCCATTTGACATATGTTCTGCATTGTTCAGGAACATTTTGACATATAAGCTGTGTTCTTCATGGTCGTGTTAGTTGAATATCTTTTCTCTTATCACATAACTATTATCTTCGTTAAGCTTTTGCAGGCGAAGCATATTTTGATCGCCACTTGATGATGTGTTCAACTTGCATTAGATTATATTCCACTTTCTTGAATCCCTTTGAAAGGAAAACTTATAATGTTGCATAGTTAGAAACCAAACTTTGATGGGACAATAATAAGGTAGTTGACATGGAGATATATGATTGGTATAGAAAATGTATAACAATTTAAGGTTTTATATGCTATTATTTTGTACATTCTTGTAAATTTTTTGAATTCCCAATTGGAAATTAAAATTCTGCAAGAATCTCCAACACAAATACCATAGAAAACCTTAAATACCTTTACATTTTGCTCCCCCAATCATGTTTCTCCATGTCAACAATCTCATTATTATCCTCAAGCAGACAAACTGGTAACAAGGTTCCATATTTTTTTTTTCCTTAAAAGTATCCATCAAACACACAGCAATTTCTATTTCTCAATATTCTTATTTATATTAAATTATCTTCTTTTGAGCATGGGTATCGGTGATAAGCGCAAGGAATTGTTTTCTCAATTTGGTGCTATAACATCAGGAAGGTTTATGTAAAAATGTCTTTGTTGTCGATCATCTAATTGTGTTTTTTCTAGACTATAGTTTACTAAATCTACTATAATGCAGGTTACCTGTGATGCAAAAGGAATAAGAAAAGGCTCAGGCTTTGTTGCATTCTCGACCTGTGAAGGGGCTTCTAGAGTAGTAATTAAGTATTATCAAACCACTTTGTTTAAGAGATTAAGCTGTTAGAAAGAGGGCGTTTATTTGTTTAAATTTACTATTGAACAAGCCCCTTTTAGGTACAAACCATATTCATTTTGCTGTGAAAGGCCTAATAAGTTTTGTTTCTTTATTGAACTTACTATATTATGATTAAGATAGTAAATTTGTTCATTTCCATTCATATTTGCTG